ACTCAAGGTGCACGAGCAGAATTATCCCACACACGACTTGGAGCTGGCTGCAGTGGTGTTTGCTCTTAAGTTGTGGAGATGTTATTTATACGGGGAGAAATTTCAAGTGTTTTCGGACCATAAAAGCCTCAAGTATATCTTCACACAGAAAGACTTGAATCTCCGGCAGAGAAGGTGGATTGAGTACTTGGAAGATTATGAGTTCACACTCAACTACCATCCAGGGAAGGCCAATGTAGTTGCCGACGCTCTTAGCAGGAAGTCTCGGGGTGAAATCAATTCTCTTGCGGTAAATAGGTGGAAAATGATTGATGCATTGGAGGAGTACGATCTATGGGTGGATGGACCGGAGTATCAATCATATCTATTCAACCTTGTAGCTCAACCGACGCTTCGACAACGGGTTGTGGAGTTGCAATGCCTGGATTCGGAACTCGATTTGATTAGAGCCCGATTGGAGAATGGGGAAGCGATGGGAGGATGGTCTTGGAAGAATGGAGAGTTGAGATATGGGGAGAAGCTATGTGTTCCCGATGATTCGTCCCTAAAGGAGGAGATACTTGGGGAGTGTCATCGCTCCAAGTTTGCTATCCACCCCGGTAGCACAAAGATGTATAGGGACATGAAGCGTCAATACTGGTGGAGGGGAATGAAGCGAGATGTAGCCAAGTATGTGGCAAAATGTGCGGTGTGCCAGCAGGTGAAGATTGAGCATCAAAGGCCAGGAGGAGTCCTACAGTCTTTGCCTATTCCAGAGTGGAAGTGGGATCACATCACCATGGACTTCGTGTCGGGTTTACCACGGACGTCGCGCAGGCATAATGCAGTGTGGGTCATTGTGGATAGACTCACCAAGTCCGCTCATTTCTTGGGTATGAAGACCACAGACTCATTAGAGACGTTGAGCAAGCTCTATATCTGTGAGATTGTTAGGTTGCACGGAGTTCCGCTCTCCATTGTGTCGGATCGTGATTCTCGGTTTGTGGCGCGATTTTGGCAAAGTCTACAACAAGCTATGGGGACAGAGTTACATTTCAGCACAGCCTTTCATCCCCAAACGGATGGCCAATCCGAGAGGGGTGATACAAATCGTGGAAGACATGTTACGAGCTTGCGCGTTGGACTTCAAGGGAAGTTGGAGTGACCATTTACCGTTGGTGGAATTTGCATACAACAACAGCTATCAGACCAGTATTGGAATGGCACCCTATGAGGCCTTGTATGGAAGACCATGTAGATCCCCGACGTGTTGGTAGAAGCGGGCGAGAGTAGTTTGTTTGGGCCAGAAATTGTTCGAGAGACTACAGAGAAAATTCAACTCATCCGGGAGAGACTACGCACAGCACAGAGTAGACAGAAAAGTTACGCGGATCAAAGACGAAGACCATTAGAATTCAAAGAGGGGGACTATGTGTTTCTCAAAGTGTCGCCCCAGAAAGGAGTATTTAGATTCGGCAAGAAGGGAAAGTTAGCGCCAAGGTATACCGGGCCATTTGAAGTGATCAAAGTGGTGGGCAAGGCGGCATATCAGTTGCGGTTACCAGCTCAGTTATCGGGAGTACACGACGTATTCCATGTGTCCATGTTGAGGAAGTGTAAATCGGATGCAACGCCGGTTGTAGACTTAGAAGATATTGAAATTCAAGATGGAGCAACCTATGAAGAACAACCAGTGAAGATTCTCGACGCCAAGGAGAAAGTGCTTCGCAACAAAGTCATCAAATTGGTGAAAGTCTTGTGGCAACACCATGGAGTGGAAGAAGCTACATGGGAACCGGAGCTAGAAATGCGAGAGAAGTACCCACATTTGTTCGCTACTTGAGGTAAGTTTCGAGGACGAAACTTTCTTTAAGGGGGGTGGATTGTAACACCCCGCATTTTCTTTTATATATGTATATAGATATATAGTAAATAATTGTTGTAAAAATGGGGATATGTGTAGTGATGTGTGTTTGAATTTGGTAGAATGAAAAAGGATGAACAGTGCACTGGCTGTAACATCAAGCTCGATTTCGACCTTGATGCAGTCCATATCTCTCAAAACTTAAAACATGAAATTTTTAGATCTCTCTCTTAGGATTCCATATCACCTTGAATCATCTCAATCGGAACTAGGAGGAAGGAGTTATGTCCATATTACGAAGTAGTGTCTACACTGTCCAAAAATCTGTCCGGCAGACTACTTTTCGCTAATTTCATCATAACTCTTTATTGGAAAGTCAGAATTGTGCACCGTTATTTTTGTTAGAACCCTAACTCGTATATCTTTCCAACCATATAGGTTAAACCTCCTAGAAATACCTGAGTCAAATCAGTTTATTCTATGAAGTTGACCAAAAATCTGCACTATGGTGCTCCTTGGATAGTAAAGGGTTGTGCTTTCTTATTAGACCTTGAAGGTGTAAAACCCCATATGTTTACATTAATATATTAATGTACTTGTTTAGTGATTCTTCTATATGTAATGACTTAAGAATAAATCATATATATATATTAAAATCGTAAGGATATCACCTATAGTAGTTCGAAGGAATAAAATAGAAATTTTAATGTTCCAAGTGTGAATTTATTTTAGTTTTGAAATAAATCATAAAAAGCAATGTTTTTAGGTTAAAATAACATTAAAAATGAATCCGGAACGTCGAAAAACCTTAGGGTAGTCGTATGGATCAAATTGGAGATTTCTAGTGGCAAAACTGTAATTTTGGAAAAAAACTCAAAATTCAGCCCATGAACAGTGATTGTCGCGGACTGCTGTGTTTAAAACACAGAAACCAGCCCATTTCCTTCCATTTTTTCTCACATCTCTCACCCCCAAACCCCTTAGCACCCTTGGGGAAGATAGAGGAAAGGAGGAAAGGGAGAAAGGAGGTCACTAGAGCTTGGGTTTGTGGTTTGAAACTTTGATTCAAGGTAGGGGTTTTCTTCCATGCTTGTCCATTGAGGCTAAGGCTAAGGCTAATATATATATATATATGTTTTGACTCATACTTGTATGTATTTGCTAGGAATTCCTTGTTTCTTGGTTTTCTTGCAATTATGGTATGTCTTAAACAAAGTTAGGATTGATTACCATGAAACTTCTTTTATAGCTTTAAAACCCTAGTTTTTGGGGAAATATGGAATTCTCTTTCTACATTTGCTCAAGCTTGGTTTTGAGAACTTTAGTGCTTTGTGTGAGTAATGAAAATGATGTGGTGGTGATCTCTTGTATTTTCCTAATTGTTTATTGAAATTGCCTCATAATGGATTTGTGGATCTTTGGAAATTTGCTTGTAAATTGGAGATTTATGGAATCCTTGGTTATGTGTGATGATTGTTGGGATGATGTGATCTTGTATGGTTGTTGGAATGAACATGGATGAGAGGTTCCTTGTAAGGATGCTCATTCCATCTCAAGAGGTTCCTTGTAAGGATGCTTGAGAAACCAAATCTTGAGGGTGAGAGGTTCCTTGTAAGGATGCTCACACCAAAAGAGGACAGTATGTGATTTTCTCAAGAGGTTCCTTGTAAGGATGCTTGAGAAACCAAATCTTGAGGGTGAGAGGTTCCTTGTAAGGATGCTCCCATTAGAGAGGACAATATGATATCATGTGTGGGAAATGATTTATATTTTGGTAATGGATGTTTATTAGCACTTAGTTGAAATTGCTCCTTTCTATTACTATTATTACTTAAACTTGAGATTCGTGTCAAAGGAAATATAATAATCGATGGTGGAATAAGCGTTCCTTTTTGTATTATGGTGTTACTATTGCATTTCCCACAAGAGCTTGTGGAGGTATGGGACTCTACAAGAACTTGTTGGAAATGGTTATGGTTGCTCATTGTGACTTGGGTTTACTGTTCATTTAAATTATTGCGAATGTTTAAACTTGAGATCTGTTTCAAATGTCACGGTTTTACTTCAAATGTTATATGATATTTTGGAAAATAAGACCGAACTGTTTTACTTGTTTTCTAAACCTTGTATGAGTATGGAAGGAATGTTGCTACAGAACAAATAATATCTTTTCAGATTTCGTCTATGAGGAGGGGTTACAAGTAGATGAACCAGTGCATGGGGAAGCTCCCCTAGAGGGGAACGGGGGTCCTGAACTGGATGTCTAGAGTTATATTTCTTTTGTACTAGACTAGAGAGTTTATTTTGAAATCATGTAAAGTCTAGTATTTTGTTATTTCACTGCAAGTGTAATTTAATTCTTTTGGGAATATATTTGTCATACTTGGCCTATTCTTTTGGAATGGCATTGTGGATATGGCATATGATGAATGAAAGTTTATTTTATGATGGATAAATAGACCCGGTGTGGTCAATAGTTATGCATATGTGGACCCGGTGTGGTCAATTGTAATATAATTGTACAGGTTGTGTTTTGGGTAAAGCTCCCCGTACAAAGGAGACTCTGCCCAAATTTTGTTAAAATATGAATGGTTGATGAATGAACTTTCGTCGTGATGAATTTACGTAATGCTCTCATGGGGTGAATGGTTTTTAGAATGTAATGTCACCCAAGGGGGTTTTTGGAGAAAAATCTGTTGCCAGATTTAGGGAATTGACCTTTCAAGTATGTTTTCCATTAGGAATTGGATTCATAATTTGGTGGACTGCATTGCCTGAGTTTGTAATTGAACAGGTGCCTGAATCCTGCCTTGATCATAAATGGATCAAGATATGGATAAAGGTAATGGGAATATCTACCGTATTAAAAAAAGGTGAACCCGATGAGAATGGTACTATAGGGGGTATTCCCCTGACTGACCTGGTAAACTCGGAATCAAAAGAATACTTAGAAAGAATAACCTTCGATCCCCTGGATATCAATAAAGGTCTAAACAGAAAGCATACTATTGCGGTACTCTTTGTTGCCTTTTTAGCATTAACCTTGGGTTGCGAAGAAGCATTGAAGATACCAGTAGAAGATTTGATGATATAGTTGAGTGCATTTTATAACCCTATCACACAATGTTGTGAGAATTCTTTCGGTCTAGATTGATAGATGAGCTTTCCCCACTGTGGTCTCATAAGGTAGTCAAGGGGCGGAGGAAACCCTTGACTGGATTGAATCCTTCGCGATTCCCTTGTGGCTACTTACTTCGGGTCTCAGGCAGTGAAATACTGGAGAAAGGTGGGGGAGGATAGAAGGTGAAGCAGCTCCCTGGGATTGATTGTTGGGGGCTTTGATCTCCTTATTTGAATACTTATTTGGATATTGAAGACACAAGCAGGGTGACTTCCGCAAGCAAAGGAAAACGCTGACCTTTCTTTTAGCTTGAAATAGGATTCAACTTACCACATGTTTAAAGCACAGTAGGAATAGTTCTCAAATGTAGATCAGCTTGCATCACATTACGATGTTTTTAAGGGAATAGGTAGAGAGGTCAGAGGGAGGAGAATTGCGAGGGGGAGGGAGGCTCCTCTTGCTGTTAGAATATATAGATAAGGTAAGTACATTGCAACAATAGCTATGCCCTATCTTCTCTTCCCTCAATCAAAGCAACAATCAAATTCGATTGAGAGCATTCCGTATGCTTACAGCAACAATCAAAGCGGGAAGAAAATAGAAAGGAGAGTTCGTAGGTCCTAGCGGCCTGCACCGAACGTAGGCCACGTGCTGAATCGGGTAAACAAAACTCAAGGTCAGAATGAGATGACATTAGTGTTCGCTGGATATTGATTTTGTCCAGAGGTGCTGGTTCGAATCCCGCTCGTGACACCAACCTCCTTTCATGCAATAGCAAGCGCTATCACTTGAATCCTGAGCATGGAAAAAGAGCAAGCCAAGACTTTCACAAGAAAGCTGGACTTGGTGGGTAAAACCTCCCTTGGGTACGAAGGTAAGCCATAAAAAGAAAGAAAGCAAGGGGCCGAGGTCAGGGATGAAGATCATTGGCTGTGGTGACTAGGCCTAGTGGCAGCTAATCCAACTCTAATTGGTACAAACCTTTTCAATCGCTATGGCAAGGAAGCTTTAAAGCGAATATTCTTATAATGATCAAGCTGATCGGTGAAGAGAGACTAATCGAGAGGCTGAGCCTCGAGTGAAGGCTAGACTTTCATCAAATGAGGGTGCTAGAGGACCATTTAACGCCTGTTCTTAGGGCTCGTAAGGGGATGGTGTGGCTTCGAACAAAGATCTCGCATTACAGAACAGAGCCTTATATATCATTTATATATAATATGGATCAAAGAGCGCAAAGCAAGCACTTTTCTCGAAGAAAAGGAGATTTCTATTGGTCAACGCTCGCCTCGTAATAGAGACGAATGGTACACCAGTTCTCCAAGCAGCTTCGTTACGTTACAGCGGTTCGGTCATTTGACAGCACCCGTTGAACCAATAACAGGAGCGAAAGACCTATCGGTGATACGAAAGCCTACCTCGCGATGAAAGACTCAATTCCCGAAAGGGAACACAGTGTGAGAACCAGAACCGATAAACTTTAGGCGGGGCTCCCTGTGGAATGATGAAAGCGTGGTCGTTCCCGTATCATCGAATTCATTGCTGTGGGTCTTTTTTCTCTTGGTCTTCCCTTTCACCGTCTTTCGCAATAGCTGATTCGTCTATACTTTTCTATTTCGTTTTGCAGACGAATCTGGCCACACCAACCCTACGGATCCGTCGGAGCAAGCGGTTAAGGCCAAGGGCAAGAAGAAGATGACTCCCCGGAAGAGGATGCATTCTCGGGTGGCCCTGCCGAGGATCCTGACGAGGCTGCTGAGAAGTCTGTCCCTTCGCACGACATCTATGAAAGCAGCAGTGGGCGAACCGGCGGTGAACAGGAAGAGGGAGGACCACCCGATCGCTAGGAAGAAGCAAGCCTATTCCCCTTTAAGGTCATTGCTCACTAGCTCCTTTCGTCCCTTTCAAGGTAAGGCAACCCTTTATTATATTAATATTAGGACCGCTTCTTGCTCTAAATGAAGAAAGACTTGTTGGAAATCACCGGGAAAACGCACTCGAAATCCTTAGGACAACCGGATTGGTTGAAGGTTACGTTCCGCACCAGTCATCTTAATGGCATTGACATGTGCTTCCTTATTCTAATCGGCTAGCGGGCACATAAACTATTAATCCCTTCCTTGCTTTCGCGTAGTTTGACTATCACAGGGAATGCCTCTGTCATCCTAATTGAGTGAAGTTCCGTTGAGAGCCTTCGTTCCGTTCCCACACGGATTGAGAGTCAAGTCAAGGACTTCGGGGTGAGGTTCCCTTGCTTGAGGATTCTTCTTAGGGTTCGGTCTCATTTATCTTCATTTCAGTGGACTGAATGCAACAAAGCAGAATACGAAGAAAAGCGTCTGAGATGAAGAGATAACCAGGGAGGAGAGATCCCCGATGGAAGGAAGTAGAGAACCGTGAAACATCAGCACCTGAGAGAGGGGCAGAGGCACAGACGAATGACCAAGCGTGGAACTAGTCCTAGCTTTGAGCCTGACTTCTAGGTTTGACCTGGGACATGGGACAAGGCTGTGCGTTCACAGGGGATGGATGTGGTTGATCCTTTGCCCTTCCCTTTTGGTTTGAACTTATCGACTCCTGCTACCTTTGCTAGTGAATTAGATCTTTGGCTTGCCTCCCAATCTCAAGGTTACTATTCGGAGAATGGACTCTGTTAGGGGCTCTATCTTAAGTCAGTCATTTCTACCGGCTCCGGGTAACTTCCTTTAGGAAGGAAAGCAAGTCCCATCGATTGAGCTGTTGATGGAATGAATGGAATAAGGGCTGCTTTCAAACCTGAACCAGGTCCAGGTCTTGTTTATCCTTTAGGGCTAGGAGCTGCTATTTCATTTTTGGATGGCGGTGTGATAATGCCAGTCGAAAGGGAAAGGCGATGACTACGATGACTATCAGTTCTTACTCTTTTTCCAAAGGTAGTTACTGACTCGAAGTCTTCTGTAAAGGGAGTTCCGGACTTCCGGATTCCATTCTTTTGGGGCGGGCTCAAGGCCTTTAAAGAGTCCGGAGTAGCGAAATTCGAAGTAGTGAAAATCGAATGAAAAGTCTTACGCAAAGTAGCATTTAGATGGCTCTGTAGCCGTAGCCGGAGAAAGTCCTAATCAAAGCAGGCGAAGGCGCTGTTCTTGCTTTGGTTGAATCAGCTTTGATTGCTAACGTCTTTAAAGGGAGTGTCCCGAGGGGAAGAGGAGGTAGCTGTTCGTGCTATAGTTTCATCAACTGCTAGCAGTCAAGTCACGAAAAAAGTCACACCGCTACCGCTACTTTATGCTTACCATGCCTAGCTCCACGCTAATGAAGTCACTTGGTCCTTACCAGAGTAGAGACTGAGATTGATATTCAAATATTTCTTCTTAGAACGTATTGATTTGACCCCATAAGCGGGACCACCACCCAATAGCATGTTGCCGCCAGAAGCAGAACCCCGTATTTCTTCTAAAGAATCTCCTAAAGGAATGATGAAGCAGCCGAATCTTGAACCTTTGACACGGAGGGGCGGCACCAGAGGGTTGCTTTGTTTTGGGCGGTTGGTTGAATCCTTTCTTTGAACTTCCTCCTGACGGTGAACTGAGACCTTCAGACACCTTCCTGTGACCTTTGAGACCTAGGTGGCACTGCACCTTGCCTTGGAACTGAGTCTTCAGGTTGGCCTTCTGACTTGGTTGGACCTGGGCGAGGACTCTTGAACCTGTTGGGTTGGACGAAGACTCCACCTTTGGTACGGGGGTGACCTTACTACTTTCAAACTAGACCCACTCAGTGGTTCATCTCCTGGCTCTCACGCGGGATTGAATACCACGAAATCGGTTCAGAGGAAGACAAGCCAATACACTACTTGATCCATCCTATTGCGAACTCGCCTAGCACGAACTGGGGGCAGGGGAAGCCAAGCCAATACACGCACTTGCTTTATCTAGTGGGCCGCCCCTATTACGAATTGGGGGAATCGAAGGGCGGTCAACACACGAACTAAGAGAAAGGGGGAAAGCCGGACTAGCCAATCGAATGGACAAAACAAAGCCCGGTCGAAGTCCACCATTCCAATCAGCTCAAGGATGAAAATAAGTTCAACGGTTGGTTCCTCAGGCTAGTCTTCTGCTCTCTTTCGGTCTTTTCTTCCGTCACTCCATTCTCGAGCCTCTAGCTAGTCGATTTGAGAAACATTAGGGTCCCTCACGTGAGATGCTTTCAAGGCTCTCTGTTGTTACACTGAACTGGCCATCAAATTGATAGCCTTCGATCTGCTCCGAGGCTGCTGATCCATCTTCTCGCTTAGTTTCTTGGGCAACTTTTCAATCATTGAATTCGACCAGGGAAGAGGTTTCATAACCAGTGAAGACAATTCTATAGCCATATTTATTCTGTGCTGCTTTGAGCTTCCCCATTCCTAGCGGGTTCATTCCCGATCCCAGCTGAGCTCCGAAGTCTGGATTTCGTCCTAAATCGAGGACTGGTCTAATCTAAGTTGCTCCCTCGCATCCATTACCATGCTCGAGAGACCTTTGCTCTTCTCCTTCCTAACGGCATAAGATAAATGAAATTGGCATAAAAGCAAAGAAAGAATTTGAAGAAAAGAGTCCGCTCGTGTTGTGTACTATAAGAAAGTGTTTTTACCCCAAGCCAAGGAAATCGGTAGAACCGGGGCCTTGAACTAAACCAGCCTCACTTGAGCAAGGAATGACTGACTTAGGAGCTCACCTTCATACCCAGCTTGATCAGGAGGGGACCGGCTTTTTATGCGAGACTGCCTTGTGTCGGATAATGAACCGGTACCCTGTAGTAGACCTCCGGCCTCGGAGATAGACCCATTATAGGACTAAGACAAATAAGGCATATTCGGTGCCCCAACTATATAGTTATTCCAGACCCTGCTTGCTAGGAGAGGAATGACTTGACTATATTTAAGCCTTTAGGTTTAGGCAGGAAGAGCGCCCTGCCTCTATCGATCCATAACTCCTGTAGGCGAGGGAGGAACTGGGACCAGTAACTCTATTGTTGAAGGAATGCCCGATCCAGATAACTGGGACGGTGTCCTCACGAATGCCAAACTTCGGAGCTAATAGCAAGAGAGGGCTACTTCTAATGGCTTCTAACGCAGTCTATCTTGATCTAACCCTACCAGTAGGAGGAAAGAAAGAACTACCTCATCCATTCTATTCTTATCTTTCTTTATCTAACCTAACCTTCAAGAAGCCTTTTGGAAGACCTTAGAGAACCGCAAGTGAGGTAAGGAAGTTCATGGTCAATCCTACAGGTAAGATATTCTCTATCCGGGTTCCAAACCTTTCTTCTTATTAGTATTAGTAAGATAGGTGCTTAACGCCCTCGTGTGCTAGTCCGAATAAAGAGTCTTTTTTCCGATGGCATTGTCACTTAGGACATCCATCGTTTTCGTCTTCTATAACCTTCCAGTCAGTCCTAACCATAGGATCTATCTCTTATCCTTGCTTGGCTTCCTACTACCTACTGGGATAGGAACTACTCGGATAGGAAGAGTTCAAAGTAAGCTAATTGGATCTCTCTCCTCCACTCTGGGCTAGCAGACAGACTGGCTTAGTGGGATACTTAAACATCCAGAAAGTCTCGTAGTAAGATCGAGCTATAGCTATGAAACCGCGTATTTTTTGCCTAAAGACAGATTCCGACCGGTGACTGACAGAAAAAGGAGATCGAACTAGGAAACACGGTGTTTTTGGCATTTCACCGAAGTCAGGTCAGAAAAGTGAGATCTGAACGATCAAAGTTCATTTTCCCGGGATAAACTGTAGCAAGAGCTTTTTCACTAATAAGAGTAGATCTTAAAGTGAAAAGTTTCATTTTCCCCGTATTTTTTGTTGCAATCCATTTTTCTTTACTAACGGGGAGATCTGAACGATCAAAGTTTCGTTTTACCGGGAAAAAATGTAGCAAAGAATGGTTCTTCTCGGCTAGGGAGAAAGGAATAAGAATCCGATCTATTTAGAAAGTTCGGGTAGCTATGATGGAAATCCATCGATTGGTTCGCCATGGCCGGAAAAAGATAAAATCCTTCCCCAGGGCAGGATAAGGATTCCTTTCTTACCATTATTCCATGCTAGGTTTTTATTCCTCTCCTTCGACTGGTGGGGACGGATGCTCCGGTCTTCAATAGAATAGGATTGAGAACCCTCAAGCTAGCAGCACTACTGATTGCTGATTATTACTCGGTCAATTGATTTTCGACTTCCTTGATCGAAGTTGACTAATCAAAGAGGTGAACCAGGTTCGACTACTGTCAGGCTATATTTCACGGTGGACAGAATGACTCTACAGATTATGTAAGGGAATGCACGGGACAGGATAAACTCCTCTGAATGGCAAGCTTGAGTTTGAACCTGGTCTATCTCATTGGTTAGCCAGTCCCACAGACAGAAAGAAACTGAGAGATAATTCGGGCGAGCAATTCCGAGATTATGAGCTCTTCCTATGACTACGAGCAGTAGCAGTAGCTGTGGCCAAGACACGAGCAAGAAAATAGCCATTCTTTCGCACCTTCTGAACTGGACACCTTTCTGACATCAAGGCAACACCAACTACCAGAAACTGCCGTTACATTAGCTCGAACATTCGAGTTAGAGATGAAAAGGACTGCCCTTCAGCTATCAGAGTATCGCCCTCCCTTAAAGAAATTGAATTGAGTCAATGACCCCGTCCCCTATTAGAGAGGAAGAGTTCCGTTGTGTCCAGTCATCGTCTATTCAACTCAAAGAACTTGACTTTCACTTCTAGTTTGATTAGCATAAAGTGCCAGCTAGGCTAGCTATTAGTTCCACTGCTTTCCCAAGAAGGGGATCAGACTCTTCAGCGGCAAAGAATGCGATCAAAGGACCCTATGAATACTACTAGCCGTAGCTGTGGTTGTGGCAAAGAAGAAATGCTAAGGAAGTGGCTGGTGTATATCCAACTCATTCTTCTCCGCTCCGCTCTAAGCCGAAAAAGGGCAGGGCTACCTTCGCTACTCCTTCTGCTTGTCATTCTAGTGCTGGTCTCAGACCTTATTCTCGCGCAAAGCCGGACCTTATGTTAGTCAAGAAGACTTTCTTTTAGGTGGCTGACTTAGCCTTTAAACTCATCTCTTTGACCCAGCTGTCCCGATGATAGAAGTCGAGATCTAAGACCTGCTGGGTTGGTTGGCAGCACCCGAAAATGCTTGAAGTGTGTTTGTTGAAGTCCGGACAGACCGACTTGCCCTTTCTGCCCATTCACCTAGTGGTCAAGCGGCATGAATCCTAGCTTGATTGCTTGTTCGATGGGGTTAAGAATCAATGCTATGCTCTGATCCTGACTATCAGACATAATCGAATGTGAATCAATGAAAGTAGATGCCAGTTCCATTGCTTTGCCCCTTTCTATTATGTTACGCTCATCTACCTCAGGTCGAGCTGCTGGAAAAAAAGAAAGGCTTTTTGATTCCAACCAAATAACTAAGAATATCTTAGAAAATGAAGTGGCTGATGCATCTTTGCCATTCAGAAGGGTAGCTCATGATTCTCTTCCATTCAATACGTCCTTGATCGGCACATCCCTCTTTGATCACTCATATAGAAAGAGAATTTGAGAACTCATAGATCAAGATCCTTTTCTCGCTAATCAAGTATAGTAGTCAAGGGACTTTTTATAGAAAGTATGGGCTAGTTGCACCCCCTCAGGTCGAGCCGGCGAACTTCTGGGATATCGTTGGCAAAGGGGGAAGTTATTTTCACCCGAACTGACTGAATTCAAGACTTCATCTAGGTCGATTGAGAAAGTTCAGCAGGTTAGAAAGAATCCGTTCCATGGCGGTTTTCTTCAACTAGTGCCCCTTCTCTTGCGCGCCGTGCTCCGCTTGAAGAAGCTTAACAAGGGCTTGACGGGGGCTTGCCGAAAGAATGGCTGCTGTGGGAACTCCGACCAAGTAGGCCAGTGAATGTCTTCCCCGATCCGTTGCTGAACCTACTGCTACTGGTTTGGTTCACTTCGCGCCTGAACCTGTCGATGAAGAAGTGGCTTTGAGCCCTTGGTATGTCTTTGGCATTGGCAAAGGACAAGGATTTGAGAATAGATCTAGCTCCTTCCTCGGTTGAGCCTTTTCGCCTCTCTCCCGGTCGGTGGTTGAGCGACTTGAAGCTTCTTCTGCTGAAACTGCTAATGTGGCTGACCTAGATGTGGCATCTCTTGCCGCCCATTAACCTAAACCTAATGAATCTGTTTGGGACGCTTAGGCCTCTACTTCTCCTGAAATTCAATCGGCCGGAACATAAAGATCTTCAAATTGCATATCTAAGGTAGTTTAGACCTTTCATCACAGGAAAGTAGGGTAGGGAACTGGTCTTTTGGATATGTCTTACCGGAAAGAAGCTCGACTGAAAGTAGGTGCTAACTCGATCCCGATTCTCTTTCAAAGGAGGTGCCATATCCCGCGAAGGGTGAGAAAGACGTGGCTAACTCGACAGAGGAAGGAGCTATCGGAAGGGAAGGAGAGCGAGGGCTCAGCCAAAGACAGAGGATCTGTATAGGATAAACCGCAGGGAGAGAAGATGAAAGATTCTCAACTAATACAGAGGACGGGGCATACCCTGGGACTTGCTAACTCAACCTTAAAACTCTTATAAAATTAGTTGGGGAGGAAAAAGGAGAGTCGACTTGGCTTGGATTATCCAACAGCGGATGCAAACGAAGAAAGCAAAGCGTTAGGATAGGAATTACAAGGAGCAAAGCTTTGAAGCTAACTCGACAAAGCCTGATAGGAAAAAGATTATTATCCCTCGGGTGGTGGGTAACCTACCTTATATTTGCCCCAACTTATGGCCATGATGCAGTTCTTTCTTTAAGGGTTGCTTTCCAAACCTAACTGCTAGTGTGAATATAATGAAGCCCTCTTCTTAGTTGAGCTAGAAGTTTGAGGTTACAAGCCCTGGAATAAAAGAAAGATTAAGCTTAAAAAAGCTAAAAAACTTATAATTATTATAAAAGAGTCAAACCTAAGTCCTTTGAGGAAGGTCTGGAATAAAATTGGACCTTTGGATGTAAGGGATCCAAGGTATGGAGGTCTCCTACTCCTAATTTTGAAGGACCCTTTCTCCTTGAATCTCTTTAGTCCTAAATGTGCTTCTTTATATCTTAATGTATATGGAAGCACCTCTTCATCTTAGATCGATTAAAGGTAAATAATTTATACCCTCTTATACATCTATGTGGGAGATGATCGAGAGTGATACACCAAAGGATCAATCACAATACGAGAACTCTTCCTAAAGAGGGTAAAGGTAGCTGGGGCGGAGTGAAGGCTCCTTCTTTAATCAAAGAAAGGATAGGGATCAAGATCAATATCGAGCTTTAGTGGTAATGGGGTAACCCGAAAGCAGAGAATCTGGGTTTTGGTAGAGGGGGTATATGACTGAGTGAAACTCTTTGGATTCTTTACCAGTGAAGCCCTTAGGAAGAAAAGAACTAAACCTTGCTCTACTAAGCAGTCGCTGAACTCGAGGTGGGTCTTTCCTCACAGGAGAGGAGGGACGAAGCTCTTAGTTTTTCTAGGTTCAAAGATTCCTCGCCAAGGTGCCATCTAAGCAAAAGAGAAAGAAGCTGGACCTTGGAGCCGGAGCCTCTTCACTGCCTTTCCCTTCCGCTGGGTTGAGGACCAATACCAAGGTATATCCTAACTAGTTCCTTTCTTTAGCGAGAGGGGGTGAGAACAGAGATTCCGCCGATCTACAAGATTCCTCTTCTCCAGCAACTGATCCTCCGGTACCGTAGAAAGAGGGGAGGGGTAATAAATATAGTTTTGAGTTTGATAAATATAGTTTTGAGTTTGAGGTGGCACAATACCTTACCTTTAGGTAGAGGAAAGACGTAGCTGGCACAAGCACAATCAGTAGCCCTTGGCCTTGGAGGGCGGATCAAGCAAGAGCTTTTGCCTTGTGTGTGGTACTTACTCGACTACCCAGGGAGGAGGTAGAAGGACAGGAGGTGTATGTAGGCTTGACTTCGAAATAGTAAAGTAGACAAAAAGATGAAATAGCGGCAGGAAACTCATCCCCCGAAACCGGAACATAGGCTTCAAAATAAGCTGCAGGAGGATTACCCCGAAAGAGAAACTGAATCAGGAAAGGAAGTGGCTGACTTTCAAAGCAAAGTCAGGGAAGACGATCGGGCTACGAACTCGGGTACTCAACCGTTGGAAAGTGGAAAGTAGGTTGCCAGTTCAACCGAAGCCAGATAAAGAACGAAGGATATTACTAAAAGGGGTATGGGTTAACCAAGTAGAAGATCGAATGGAATAAGCCAAAAAAAAAGGGGGATTACTAGAAAAAGGGATTCCACTCCAATAGTGGAAAGGATAGAACCAGACCAGATAGATCGACTTCGAGAATCAGCTCTTTGTAGCGGAAGAGCAACTGCAAGAGATTCCACTTAAACTGAATCAAAAGATGGAGGCTCAATAAAAAAATATGCTTTAGCGACATAAACCGGAGTTCTTGAGTTAAGGTTTTGAGTGAACCCTCGGAACTCAGTCCTCGTCGAAGTCTATTCGAAAAGCGGAGAAAAGTAAGAAAACTTAAGTATTCAAGAAGTGACAGAAGTCCGTCTCTTATGTACCAGGAAACCGAGGAAGGAACTAGTCTTAAGTCTCGGAATTGAACTGTGAACTTCTTTTCTGAACTGCTACTTAAACTATCTACTTATAGATTCTCGAGGAAACTGACGCATCTTTTGAAATTTGAAAGAAGGCAATCTTCTGATAATATGGGTTGAGGGGAGATGCTTGACTCATTAGGATACGGGCGAAGGAAGTTCATAGGTACTAAGCCGGAGAATAACGAGATGGCAAGAGCCAGATCTCCTTCTTCTTTAGAGGCGGGAAGGTGCTCAGCTATTCGACTCAGAAGGAAGAGAGTAGCAGCTTTCTTTTCTTCGAAGTGAGGGTCAGGGTATCGAAAGATCGAAGAAAGGGAATCGGGATCCTCAACAAACTACATAAGGATCGGGATCAGGTTTAATGGGATTCTCGGATCGGCTTCTTCTCGCAAAGGATGTTTCGGTCAGAAGATGAGACTCTGGTAGGGAAAGGGGGCAGAGATGGCATCAAGCCGAGCACAGATCTGGGCTTAAGGCAAGGAAGCTTGACTAAAAGTTTTTTGAAATCTGAGGAATCGATCAAGCTCGGTTCCTCTTCATGTCATGTTCTCCCTAATCCATGATAGATCGAGGGGGAGAGTGGTTCACTGGGGAACTAAACCCTTTGCCAGTCATAATGGGAGCTATGATCCCTCTGGATTGATGTCCCGGGCGGGGTAGGACAAAGAAAAGGAACTCCTGGTCTATTGGCTCGAGCTGCACTACTACACTAAACCGGGGATTTCGGATCATCACTAGATTCTCGCTAATCAAGCGTCAACCTCTTTGATTCAAAAGCAGCTCTTTCCAAGAGAGATGGTAAAATAGCTTCTTTATATAAGATATTGGCTCGTGAAGCAAGATCCCTTTCTTTCTTATGAGGCCCAGAGTCTGGCAAAGAAAGCTCTTCCCCCGCTCGAGTGTCTTTTGCGCCAGCTTTCTTTCCTATTGGTTACGGTTCCCCTACCCTATTTTATGCATCTCATTTTATGGTTTCAGCATATGGCTATGGTTCAGATACAGACTCAATACTTTATTTCGTGCTTTGATCTCAGCTGGTGGAAGTAGAGTGGCTATGGCTCCTGACCATTCAAAGTAGTCATTCTTGGAAAACAATGCATGGCATGCTGTTCCAACTCTTCCGGATAGTTACCGCGCCATTCATAGCCATCAGGGAAACTGCCCTCCTCCCTCAAGCCTTTATCCCGTGCTAGTTAGCTTGTAACGAATGACTTTTCTTTTCATTCAATATCCCATGCCCTGCCCGCAGCCTCCTTCTTTATCGGTGAATCGCTTTCAGTCTCTCTTTTGCTTGCCTAGGAGCTCTCCTGATAGTAGCTCTTCCGCATCTAGAGAGGACTTCTGACTCCTAAAAAGGGAGGATTCCCGGGTTTCAGTGAGGGTCGGGCTTACCATGTTTAATAGGATACCAGCCTAGCCAGTAGTCAGAGAGCTTACCACGGGAAAACCAACTACACTAAGAAAGACCCAGGGTGGGGCTCGTTGAAGAAACTCGATGGTCGCATTCTTCTCTTTTGAGTGGTCTCTTCAAAATAGAGTATTGGATTGGAGTCCAGTAGGGAAATATCTCAGAGGTATCACTCTTGCCAGCCTTCTGTCCAGGATGTCTCATTCTCGGAGTGGTCTCGTTCTAGGTTTCACTCCCCCCTTTCGTCATAAGGCGTGGTTCTGTCCCCTTCTTCTTTTTGAAGAGAAATATAGGCGAGGGAAAATGGCTGTGATTCAATATGAAAAGGCCAACACTCACTCTACTAACGCAGGGTAAGTGATTATTGATATCCGACTGCCTTGATCGACTCCTCCATTCATCGCCTACCATGGACACTTCGACTCCCCCCATCATAAGTAGGGCCTTTCCCTTTTGATTGGGTTTACCATGAAAGAAAGATTCTTTAATGCCTCTGGAAACCCCAAATGCAAGAGATGGACGGGCATGAGCCTTCTTCATTCACTGATCAACCTGGCCTTTAAATCCTTTGTTTTCAACCTCAGATGGATAATGTTTTTGAACTGCTGCCAAATCAAGATCAGGAGAGAGACCTGAGAAGGATTCTCTTTGCTCTTGCTCGGGCTTCTTACCCAGAAAAAATCACTCCATCATTATTGCGTAAATAAGTGGTTATCTTCAAGAGAGGAAAGAGAGAATCGAAAAACCACCGCCCCGCGCTGATTTATTGGCAGAAAATCCAATATCAGAAGATTGATTAGTATCTGAAGAACTGCCAGATGAGAAAGTATTCGTAGCAGAAGCCTCTTACTGGGTGATGTTTTTTGATGGGTCTCCAAGAAAAAGAGAAGATAGAGCTGATAAGAGAAAGGCAAAAAGCACAGGAAAGAGCCAAGCCGCTGCTACGATCACTCTAAGACCGCTTATTCAAGAGCTCCTAATTGAACAGTTAGCTATTCTGTAAGAACTTATTCTATCACAACTTATTCTTTCTTCTTCACTTGCAAAGAACCTATTTGATTCAATTGCAGCTCCTTCTATGCTATCAATCCCATTTTGTTCACAGCGTCCTCTTCTGGGAAGGAATTGATGGAAGGAATCGGAAGCTTGCAACAAAGAGCTTGACTTTCCCCGTTCTTTGTCTTCTAGGCGTCGGAGGGGAATGAAATTCCTAATGGTTCTCCGCCTTTTAACCCTTGGCAGGGGAGAAGGACTAATCTCAGTCTATTCGGCCTTCTTGGGAATGGAATCCTGGGTACGTCCACATTTGGGCAACTTTCACTATGCGAGGGCTTTGGTCTGCTTCCTTCTTTTGAATCACAGGAAATGATTCAATCTCGAACTGGGCCTGACTATTCAGTTGAAGTGAGAGTTGGTTCAACTATCGAGGATAGGAATTGATTCAAGACTGCCTGCTAGTAAGTGAGGCAATCGATCAGAACGCTAACAGCGAGATGCAAACTCACCTTTGTCCCTCAATCAATGGGGCAAGTCGAGGCATGTCTTCTTTCAAGCAAGACGAGTTAGCTCCTTTCTCTGAAAGATGAGGTGGTTTGACCATACTGGAAAGGGTTGAACCTGCCTACTTACTAAGCCTTAGAAGCCCTTAAGGAGGCCTAAATCTGGAGTGTTCCCTAGCTTGATTCTTTCTTTGTTTGCTTCTAGTCGCTGCTTCCTGACTCGTCTCGTCTTGCCATCCTTCCTTGGGTTCTGTTCTCATCCCTGGATCAAGTATCCTTTGCTTTAGCTCATGGCTCGTCAGTGGAATAGTCTCGATCAACGAATCACCTGTCTCTTAAGACCACTTATCGAAAGGGCGACCAACGGGAGAGGAAGGCTGACTCAGGAAGCATAGGCTGAGGGCTCTAGGTGACGAAGGCTGAGTTGGTTGACTCTCAAGTCGGAGCTCTGCTCTCCGCTTTATTCGCTTTCTTACTTTGGCTTGCTTCTTCGATCCGGGATACTCCATTCTCACCGAGACCTATCTCCTAAATCCTCTTTGCTACCTATTATCCTAGATTTGCAGCGGATTGCCTGCACTTGATTTGTTTATTGGAGTTCGTAGCCCTTTCCGGGGTGCAACCAAAGCATCCTCCCTCCGAGCTTGGGTACGTTCGTTTCCTTGCAGAAGCGGCTCCGAACTAGTAGGCATATAGAAAGAGGCAATTCCTATTATTATAATTAATAAGGGCGCGCCTTCTGATCTACGACCAGCACAGAACTTACCGAAGATGTTGCAAAAACACAAGTGACGTCAGGTAAATGAGAGAGGAAGGAAGGAAAGCTACATACAAGGCGTAAGGCGATCGGCTTGGCTTAGAAAAATTCCCTCTTTCGCTTGCTTCTAGTTCAAGCCATAGATCAGAGTTGCCGTACTTCCGGGAGCTGGTCTAGTTCCGGTAGGTTCGTGAGGAGTTGACCCGAGCGACGAGGACCAGGAGGAGCTTCTGAACCCGCGGCAGGAGATTTGTAAGGTGGTAAGGCAGAAGGGGAATCAACATGAAAGTCTACGCCCGGTGAAGCTCGAAGAGCACGAAAGAAGTCAAAAACCTAATAACTTTGAAGTGAAGCAAGCACGCCACTAACACGTTTCAAATTATTTGTGAGCGGAAAATGCCTACCGTTGTTAGCCTTAGACTGACCTTACTAACTTTCAAGCAGGCACTACAAGTGGTCCTGTTCCTGTGACAGTGGAAGTGGAAGTTCAATCCGAATCTGCATCATCAACGGAAGCATCAACTGAAGCAGAAGCTGCTATTTCGGTGGTTGTTGGTGGGGCATCTAACTCAATAACGATTGAAAAGGCAAGTCGTGCGTACTAGGCCTAAAGGCGTGGGGCTATCGGCAAGAAGGGCAAGCACGCAAACAGGCAAGCCTGCCAGAAAGCCAGCAACAAGAGGTTACGGTTTCAAAGTGCCAGTGGTTGGCAAAGCGTCAAGGGCAAGTTCGAAGGGAAAGCT